CAGGAAAAGCCTTAGGAGTGAAGAGGAGTAACAGATCAGAGGAGGCGGGACAGCCGCTGGTGGCGTCCAGCAGCCCCCGATCTGGTCCTCAGTGCTGGGGGCGACCTGGAGGCAGTGAAGGAGAGGAGAATGGAGGGGGGCGTAGGCAGGTCCCGGGCTCACCTGGCGGGGGCAAGGAGGATGCCACAGCCCTGCGGGCACGCTAGGACGCCAGGCCGGCTGCTTTGGACCTTGCACTGGGCCCAGCAGATTTGCCCCTAACCACCCAGCGCTGGGAGTGGTTGGTAGCTACTGTGGTGATGTGCGGGTGCGTGGGGTGCCTGCCGCCTGCGATCCTGCCCGTGTCCATTTGCCGCTGTTCCTGAGCTGGACCCGGGAAAGGTTGCCGTGATGAAGTGTTTCCCTGAGCCGTCCTGCTTCCCCTTTGGAGTGCACCCCCCGTTCTCAGAGGGGAGCCTCAGGACTGCATGTTGTCATAACCCACCCCTTCTGGTCTGCCCTCTAGCCCTCATATCCCCCCGCCCCACATCCCATCCTTCCTCCTGCTTTTTAGCAGAGCTTTGGGAGTGCTCTGCTAGGCACTGGAGCAAATCCAGAAGAAACGGGGTGACGACGCGTCTGTGCCAGGAGAGGGTACGGCAGGGAGGTCCTGGCCCATCGGTGCTGTCTCTGCAGCCGCCACGCTCCCCAGGTCAGCCTCTGAGCCAGCCCGGGCCTGTGTGGGGTAAGGACACAAAAGCATAGCTTCACAGAGAACCACGGGAGGCAGCTTGTTGGTTCCCAGCTGGCCTCACCCGCTCCAGCCTCCTCTTCGAGCAGTTCCCACGTGGGGGGAGTAGGCAGTGGAGCAGGCCCCATCCCTTGCACCATGGTGCTGCGTTCCCCCACACCAGGCTTGATATGGGGCTTTGGTAAGAGGAAGCAGGGTGGAGAGGGGTCACGAAGGAGACTGGGAGCAAGTTGGAGAGAAGGACTGAACAGTGAACCTTTCCTGAGCCACTTACTAAATGCCTGCACTGCAGTGCTAAGTACCTGATAAGTATTAACTCATTTGATGCTCATGGCAGCCCCATGAGGAGGTGCTATTATTATTATCCCTCACCCATGTGGTTGTTGTTGTTTGGGAGAGAGAGAGAGAGAGAGAGAGAGAGAGAGAGAGAGAGAGAGACATCGATTGCTTGCCTCCTGTACACACCCCAACCAGGAATCAAACCTGCAACCTTCTGGTGTCCAGGGCAACGCTCCAACCAGCGAGCCCCCGGCCAGGGCGAGGTGCTATTATCTTGATTCCCATTTACAGAGGAGGCAGCAGGGGGGTTGAGAGGCTGGCCCGGGACCAGCCATGGGCGCTGGCATTGGAACTGACACGGTACCACTCCAGAGCCCCTTTTCTCAAACTCTGTCCTGTCGCTGCCCCAGGCCCCGCCCAGCCTGAGCAGAGTCTGTTCACATCACCTGCGTTGGGAAAGGAAGCTAGACAGCAACGCAGCTTCCCCCTGGACACCTGCCAGCGGGTGGAGGAGGGTGCCTGGACCGTCACACTTAAGGCCCCGGAGCCCCGTGCGGCCGGTACTGAGAACCGCTGGCTAAAGCAGCCGCGCCCCGAAGTGTGCACCTCGGGCCAGCTAGGAAACGCCTGCACCCGGGCACAGGCTGATACCCTCGCTGGGCTGTCGATGGGCCCCGTCCGGACACGCTGTGGGTGGGCAGGTGTGGGAGGAGCCCTCAAAGAATGAACTGGCCGAGGACGAGGCCTGGAGGTACTCGGGGGCCCTATTTCCGAGCTCTGGCTTCGGCCTGCTCTGCTTTGAAAGGTTCCGTCCAAATAGTCCCTTCCTCAGTGAGTGACCAACCAAGTGTGAAGAGTGGGACCTGCCTCACGAGAGGCCTTCAAAGCTTAGCAAAGAAATTAAAATGAACGAAAGCCTTCACAGAGCAGGGCAGCAATAGCCTTGAGTGAGCGAGGCCCTGAAGAGTGGGACCTGCCTCACGAGAGGCCTTCAAAGCCTTAGCAAAGAAATTAAACTGAACGAAAGCCTTCTCAGAGCAGGGCAGCAATAGCCTTGAGTGAGTGAGGCCGGCGGAGGCCCCCAGACCAGGAACTTGGTAGGAAGAGCTTTTGGGGAGATGGTGTGAGCTGGGTTTGGGGAGCTGGGCACAGTGTGGCTGGAAGAGAGGGAGCACCTCAGTTGTGAAGAACGAGGTGTGTGGATGTGTGGGGAGAGGGGTTGGCACTGTGATCAGGAGACGAAGCCGCGGGGTCGACGGCGGGCGAAGCCCAGCTGCTGGGAGAGTCCTGAGGCTCTGAGGGGCCCGGGCTGTGCAGCAGCAGCGGGGGCCACTCTAGGGCTGTGAGCACTGACTTGGAGGCAAAGGGAAGGGCCGGGAGCCCGAAGGCCCCATGCTGACCTTACTGGTGCACCAGCTGGTTCAAGACAGTCGTGTACCCCGCCGTGGCCTGCAGAAGGGGCTCCCCGTCACCCTGCGGGCCGCCGGGGGCAGACGGAGAGAGCTCCCAGCGGGGTGGACAGGCTGGTTCTCCGTCACTGGGATTGTCCGATGCCCCTGCCCGCCTCTAAGACTCACAGGGTTACCACAGGGAAGGGGGCGATCATCCAGTCCCCGTCCTGCAGGGACCCCACAAGAACAGATAACACTTAGCCTTGAGCCACGCCACATTTGGAATCTTTGTTAAAAGTATCTTTCCCCACCGAGGAGGGTATGTGTAAATGTGGGGACAGAGTAAGAACCAGCTCTGGGCGCCTTGTTTTTCTTCACGATTCACCACACTTGGTATTTCCTCTCTCCTGCTAACATTTATCCCATCTCCAAAGCTCAGCTGGAACCCCACTCCTTGGGGGAGTGCCTTTGGCCCACGCAGGCCCAGGGGACTCCCCGATCCAGAGCTCCTGGAGCAGCGCCAGGTGCCGGAAATGCTCCGTACCTGTGCTGTCCGCTCTGGCAGCCTTCGCCACAGGTGGCTGCTGAGAACTGGGCCTGTGGCTAGAGCCACGAAGGAACTGGATTTTAAGTTCATTTAAATGTCAACAGCCGCCTGTGCCTCGCGGCTAACACCTTAGGCGGCATGGTCCTTGAGCACCTGTTGGCTGCACAGTGAGTTAATCCTTCCCAGCATCGCCAGGGGACCTGCTATTTGCCAGACACTGACTACGTGCTTGACACACATGATCTAGTTCTCATGAGGAGGCACTGTCACCCCCATTCAAGGAGGAAGGAATAAGAGGATGAGAAACCTCCCTAGAGTGGTAGAGCTGGGCTGGAGTCTGGGACTGACCCGCAGTGGGGGGCATGGCGCGTGGGATTGGAAGAGAGTTGGAAGGTGCAGAGTGGAGCTGACAAGCCCAGGAGATTTGGGGCAGGGCTTGGGGCTCTCCCACATTTCACTTCTCTTCTTCGCTCCAGGAACCTCCTCAGTCCTGCGCCCTCAGTGCTTCTTGAAATAGGGAAGCAGAGGACAGCCAGCTGTTTGAAGCTGGACTCATGGGTGCCTATTATTGCTGGTCCCCGTGTTCATCCATTCAGTGAAAAATATATTAAGCATCTTAAGGATTTGGGTTCAAATATAGTTGAGCGATAAAGCTGAGAATCTGCATTTTAACAAAAGCCAGGCAATTCTATGATCCACCGATTGCACTTGGAAGTTATAGTTCTTTATATTTATAGTCCTTTATATATTTTTTACTTGGTTTCCCAATTACAGCCAGGAGTAGCCCCTTCTCCCTCCGATCGTCCCTTTAGCAGATTCGCAAGCCTGGCTGCAGACTCGACTCACCTGGAGCGTCAGGAAAAGCTGGGGGCCAGGCCCCAGCCCAGGCCAGTTGGCCAGAATCCCGGGGTGGGGGTGCTCGGGCATCTCCTGGGGGAGTTGACTCTGACGTGCAGCCAGGGTCGAGGACCAACCTCCTCTCCGATGCCTTCTTGGTGCTCAGCCACATCCTGTTTCGTGTTTCTTATCGGCCTCCTTTTGGGTGGGCGGAGTCACCTCCAAGCCTCCACACCTTCACCTTGCATAGCGGGTTTCAGCTGAATGAAACACTTTCCCCTTTTTCAGTTCAGCTTTGGGCGCAACAAAACATTGCCCCGGGAGAGGCGGTCTTTTGCCAAAAGAGGACCAATGATGCTTCCTCTGTCCTTTCTGAACCACCCTCTTTTTGCTGGGTCTTAGGTGGCCTCCCCCTTAGCATAGCTTTGTGAGTAGCACCTCGTGTCAGAGGGTCAGGCGAGGAGGGAGCGCTGAGGTGAGATGAAAGAGCTCAGGCGGTGGGATGATGGGCCCGCCTGGGTCAGCCGGAGAGTCAGATTCCAGGTGCTGGTGCCAGCCAGGCCAGCTTCCGGTGCCTACGGCACGGACAGCACGGGGGCCGAGGGAAACCTTCCAGGATGGAAGTTCTCTCCTCAAAGGATTCCTGGCGCCATAGTGGGCAAGTGGAAGCAGGTCTGGTTGCAGGTAGAATCATGAGGCAAGTGAGGATTTCTCAGGTGCTCCGTCCCCCTGGCTTCCCCTTTAATTACCAGTGGCCTGGACCCTGCCCCTTCCCAGAGGTCACTGCCTACATGCCCTTTCGCACCCCCTCCCCCCAAGCCTGCTCCTAACTCACGCCAGGCGGAATATTTCTAGTCAAGTGAAGTGTGCCACCCAGTCCAAGGGTTCTAGTTTGTTTTTAAATCAAAGAGGAGTGTTTCAGATGATGGAGTTCTAGCTGTCATTGTGGATTAAGCATTTCTGAGGGAAGTGGGTTTTCTTCTGAATTCCTGGGATCACAGTCGGGCCACTCTGAAACCAGAGGGGTGGGGGGGGCACCTGCTTCGGGAGGAGTCACTGCCTCTCTTTGGGAGGGAAGGGGGGTTTGCCTTTGGGGGCCACGTCAAGGTGCCCTTGGGAGGCGCCGGCAGGGGGTCTCATGCGCACCCTCTGCCCCTGCCAGATGTGGATGAGTGTGTGGAGGGGACCGACAGCTGCCACATTGATGCTCTCTGCCAGAACACCCCCCGGTCATACAAGTGCATCTGCAAGTCTGGCTACACAGGCGACGGTAAACACTGCAAAGGTGAGGCTGGGAGGGCACCTGCAGAGGGGAAAGCGGTGCTGCCCTGCCCAGGGGCTGCACTGCATGACACTAAGGCCTGCAGTCGCACTGGCATGGGGAGGGGGCTGATGGAGGCGGGGAGGGGAGGAGCCATTTCTTCCCAGAGAGAGCGCCATTTTCTAATTTGCACAAAGGCTCCATCTAGGCTAGTTCACAGCCAGACAAGCCGGGCTGTGTAGGGGTCAGAATCATGGGACTAAGGCCCGAGGGTCCCTGACATTGGAACCTCCGTCTTCAGACCCTTACACCACAAAGCACGAGGACGGACGGGATGCATACTCGAAACAGGCACCGCCCCTCGTCCTGAGGGCCGGCAGAGGGGGCAGCCCTGCTCTGTCCGTGTGTGACCCTCAGTGCTGACGAGGCTGCAGGGACAGGTGCACTCGTCATTCCTGGTGACAGTATGATTTGAAACGTGATTTTGTCATCCCTAGAGGAATCCCAAAGGCATTTATACCCTTTGACCTAGGAATTTTACTCTTAGGAACTTCTTCAAAGGAAATTCAGAGAAATAACATACAAGAGAAGATATTCTTTGATGCTTTATTTATGATAGTGAAGTAAATGGAAGGACTCTTAACAAGAGAGAAAAAGCAAATTAGGATATAGCGACACAATGGACTATCCTGCAACCATGTACATTGGTAATTAGAAAGGCTGGGTGGAAATATGAGAAAATGTTTGACTTTAGATGAAAATAGCAAAATGCAAAATGGTTTGTAGGCTATGAAAGTAACTATGTAAGCGCACACACACACAGAGATACACACGTGCACACACGCACACAGACAAGGTGGTTTATTTTTTTAAAAACCACCACAGGGCTGAGCCCAGGGCTGGAGAGTGGGGGGCACGCAGGTGGGTCCAGCTGCCCAGCTCCTCTTTGCCCGCAGATGTGGATGAGTGCGAGCGAGAGGATAACGCGGGCTGTGTGCACGACTGTGTCAACATCCCTGGCAATTACCGATGCACCTGCTACGACGGATTCCACCTGGCACACGACGGACACAACTGTCTGGGTGAGCGAGGGAGGGGGTGTGTGGGGGGGGGTCTGGTGGGGAAGGCGGCGTTTCCAGCATTTCCCATTTCCCAGACCAGGCGAGGAAAGTGACCCAAACAGCTGCAAAATAGAGAACAAGGTCCGCCTCCCCTTTGAGACTGGCACTGGGGGTGAACCAGTCCTGAGCTGGGTGAGCACAGCAGAGGAGAGGGCAGGGCCAGTGACGACAGTAGTGGGCGTAGCCCGTGAGGGCGTGTGGGAGGTGATTTGGCTGCAGACAGACCCTGGCCCTGCTGCTCACCAGGGATGTGGCCTTGGGCAGATTCACAGTCTCTGGGCACCTCAGCTTGCTCAAAGGGCTTCCGGCGAGACCCCATGAGAGAACATGTGTAAGGAGCCCTGGACAGTCCTTGGCACAGGGTGGGTGCTCCATACACAGGACGTTGTCGACGCTGCTGCTGCTGCGGCTCCCCTGCGCCCTGGGGAGCCTCTGTCGCGAAGGGCTGGTCTTCTCCCAGCGCTCTCTGCACTCTCCAGGCGTCCTCTCCTCACCTCTGAGGCCTGTCTGACCTGACCGCCTTTGTCCCAGGAGCTGGATCAGAAAGAGGAGAATCTCCAAGTAACTAAACTCAACTTCGGTTTCTATCACTTACCAGGACCATGTCAGACTCCTCCCCAAGTAGACAAACTGAATCCCACAGCATCTGAGATACGAACCCAGGGTCCTTCCCCAAGTTCTTTCTCTCTGGTGCCATCACAGACACAGGGGACTGGAGGAATAGACCAGGAGAGGAAGAGAAGCAGCAGGAAGGATGCCCAGAAAAGCAGGAATTATTTGAGGAATGATCTGAGGTCCCCTTGGCCTAGGAGAGCCTCCTGACCACCGAGCTGCCTTCAAACCCAGTCACATTCCAAACCCAGGGGAGCCAGGCTTCTAGGCTTCCACTCCCAGCCAGGCCTCGAAGCCCCGGTTCCTGCTGGGCCCTCCCCGAAGCCCTGGCCACCTCTTACCACTGTGGTTACCAGAGAACGGCCTCCCTTGTCTGCCCAGTCACCTGTGAGCCCCCCCACTCCGTTCCCCCGGGAACTCCTTGGGAAAGGGGAGCTGCGACGCTGGGACCAGGACAGGGACTTGCCTACAGGACTGTGAACATCAGCGTCTGGGTTCTTTGGTTGCCTTTGACCTCTCTAGGCCCCGATTCTATCGTCTTGTTTCCTTATAAAATCAACCAGAAGATAAGGGAATGAGTAGGTAGGGAAGGGGCCAGGGAGAGCAACGGTCTAACACTAACTCTAGGGTTGGGGCTCAAAGTCTCAATCTTACCTTTGCCTTTTAGGGGAACCCTGAGTACGTCATCCAGGCCCTGGGTGACCTCAGTTTCCCCACTGAGAATGGGAGGAAAGAACTTGGCCAGAGTAGCAAAGGTCGGAATAGAAGGGAACAAAGAAGCAGCGGTCGCCAACCTTTCGGACCTCACAGACCACCAGTGGTCCGGGGACCACCGGTTGGCGACCACTGCAAAGAAGGATGGAATGTAGGATGGGGCAAGGGCAGGAAGACGGGTGGGAGAAGTCACAGTGTAGTGACAGAGGGGCAGGGACAGGGACAAGGCAGAGGAAAGTACCCCTCCTTGGCTTTCCTAACAAGTGCATCTCCGGCAGGAGCCCGCTGCGTCCGGGCCCGTGGCCCTTGGCCAGAGGGGAGAGGACAGGGTTTTGAGGCTCAGCAGAGAGGATGGGGAGGGGGACAGACGAAGCCCTCAGGAGCCCAGGTCCCAGCTGCTACATTTGGGAACCAATCTCCCTCATGCCTCCTGGGCCCAGGAAAACTGGACTTGGGAGGGCAAGTAGGGAGCATAGAGACAGAGTCGAGGCCTTGAAGTGGGGGGACCTGGGATGAGCTTGGCGCTCAGACCTGGGGGTGGTGATTTGTGGTGGTGATTAGGGTGTGGCCTGGCAGCTCCTGCTGCCCCCGCCCCTCGCTGCCAAGCTCCAGACTTTGTTTTGTTAAACCAAAATAGGAGAAAGGCTAGGGAATATGGCAGCAAGCCCAGGCCTGGGGGGAGGGGAGAAGGACCGGGGCGTGGCCTGTCCACAGATATGGTCCCTGCTCCGCAAGGAGTTGAGGCCACTGCCTTCCCCACCCCGCCTCACCCACCTCAGCACCATGGCCATAGCTCTCTCTGCACATGGAGCCATTTCCCAGGTTCTCTGGTTCCCTGGCTCTTACCACCACCAGCTGCCCCCAGTTCCTCGCTCCATCCAACCTCCATTCTTACCTTCATCTCTGTTCCTCTTCTCTGCCTTCTTTCCTGATCTCTTCTGCCCTCAGACTCCGTTCCAAGAGGTTCTCCACCTAAGTGAGCCATGTTCACAGGTCCCCTCCCCACGTGCTCGCTCCCCCGCTCTGCCCTCTTAGGTGGCCTCTGCGGGAGTTGGAGCAGGAGCTGAGCAGTGAGAACGGCCTGGCCTGAGGCCGGGTGTTGGACTGGGGAGGAGGGGAGGTGTGTGTGCTGGTCTCTTAAGACTGCGCCCACCACCCGGTGGCCGCACCCACCGCTCACCAACCGCTGTCCCGCACAGATGTGGACGAGTGTGCTGAGGGCAACGGGGGCTGTCAGCAGAGCTGCGTCAACATGATGGGCAGCTACGAGTGCCACTGCCGGGAGGGCTTCTTCCTCAGCGACAACCAGCACACCTGCATCCAGCGGCCCGAAGGTCAGCCCTTGGCCGGGGAGGGCCCTGCTCCCGGCGCTCCCCTCCTCTGCTTGGGAGCGTTCCCCAACATCCCCTAGGTCTCCCCCTCCGTCTCAACGCCACTAGCTCCTTCTCCGTCCCTCAACCGAACCACATCCTGAGGGTTCTGCAGGTAGACACCGTCTTAAAGCAAAATCAGGGGGAATTCCTTTGGAGTTGGGGCCAGTGTGGGGCATTCTCTGTGTCCAGAACTGAGTATATCTTGCTCCTAATCAATTAACGGTAGATGGCTGAGCTCTAAGCTGCTGTTACGAGAGGGCCTCACCGATGCCGCATTCCTTGGGAGGGTCAGGCAGGATTAGTGGGTATGTGTTGTCTGTTTCTGAGACTCCCTCCCCGCTAGACTGTGACATTTCTGAGGGCAGGGACTGTGTCTAAATCATCTTTGTATCCCCAGAACCCAATAAACTGCCCTGCATGTAGTGGGAGCTTAGATATTTGTCCGTTAGATATAGAATCATGTAGGAGTTATCCAGTTACTCCCACCCACATTGATACTTATCTGCTTCCCAGTTTGACTGTAAGCTGTTTGAGGACATACAATATATATGTCCTATATTTTATCTTATATACGGGTCCTTCCTAAATCCACCCAGTACCTGGCACAGGTGGGAAGGAGAGGTGACCGTGCAGGCTTTCTGGAGGTTGGGTGTCAGTGCCTGTACGTCAATCAGAATGGCTCTGAGCTCTGCAGGCAGAGCAGGGGGCCTGTGAGGGCGAGTCCGTCTCCTCTCCCTCTTGCAGTCTCGGTGGGACTCTCCCAGTTTCCTGGGCCCCAGTTATTCCTTCTAGTTCCTCATCCCCTCGGCGTCCGGAAGTACAGAGCATTCACCCTGCTGCTCTTCCGTTTTAGAAGGAATGAACTGCATGAACAAGAACCACGGCTGTGCTCACATTTGCCGGGAGACACCCAAAGGGGGTATTGCCTGTGAATGCCGGCCTGGCTTCGAGCTCACCAAGAACCAACGGGACTGTAAATGTGAGACCCCTGGGTTGGCAGCGGGAGAAGGGAGACAATGAGGTGGGGGTGGGGCCTCAGCAGCAGGAGTGGGGGGGAAGGGAGCATGGGGGAGGCTACGCGACCAGAAGGCCAGGGACTGAGTTCTGGAGACCGTGGTGCCCAGGGAGAAGCAAGCTGACAGGCCTCCTGCCCTCTCTGCACAGTGACGTGCAACTATGGTAACGGTGGCTGTCAGCACACATGCGACGACACAGAGCAGGGGCCCCGGTGCGGCTGCCATGTCAAGTTCGTGCTCCATACCGACGGGAAGACGTGCATCGGTGGGTGAGGCCGGGGGGAGAACGCAGTCCACCTGTGATGGGGGAGGGGAGGGGTCCTTGGGAACCAGGGGAGCGGGGAGCACGTGGAGCCCATGTGCTGGGCGCCGGACGACTGGTGAGTTGAAGACCGGACGATGCCAGGTCGAGACAGGGACAGCTCTGAGAGACAGGTCTCACCCCACCCTCTCCTCCTCCCCACCCGTTGGTTCCACTCACCCCCGCCGGGAGCCTCACCACCCTCTTCATCCAGGATAACGTGTTGCCAACCTGGGAATTGTCAGCAGGGGCACCTGCTGGTCAGGGTTGTGGCTGAGAGAGGAGGAGAGGCGGTGCAGGATTAGCCTGACCAGAGGCACTGCTGACCCGTGTCAGACAGGAGCTGTCCCAGCCACTGTCCCCACTGGAGCTGAGGGGGACAGAGTGCTCTTTCCAAACACCCAGCTCGGCATTGACAGTGGGGTTTCCTGACTCCAGAATCTTTCCTCTGTAGCCTTCTCCCCTCCGCTCCCCGACTTCCTTCTCTCTCCACCACATTCCAGTGGGACTCCCTCTAGGCTCCCTCTGGCCTAGCCTTCCATCCTCTTGCCCTGCTTTGGGGCCTTCTGAACACCTGGATCCCTCTTCCTGAATTCCTAGGCCTCACTTCACGCATCCTCAGGTACCACGGATGAGTCTAACTCCGAACACCCTAGTCTTTAGGTCTTTCGTGAAGGCCAGATACTGTGTGCTCTCGGGGTGCTGAGAGGTGATGGAGGAGTGGGAGTGAAAGGAAGGAGCGGGCCAGGCAGGGGCGCGTTGGCCTCGGGCACAGTGTTCCTGGGTAGGGTTCACCTCGCGGGCAACAACGTGCTGGGGACGGGAAGTGTGCGTGCAGCCCCTCTGTCCATCAGGCATGACAGTCAGCTAAGGACCAGGCTGTCCCCCATCTCACCGCCTTCCCCCAGCACAGGAACGGGAGCAGACGGTGCTGTGAAAGGTCTCCCGCAGCACCTGCTCCGAGACTGGCACCCAGGGCTCTAAAGTCCTCTAAGTAAATCTCACCTGCTCCGTGTTCCCTCGGAACTAACTCTTCAAAGACCCTGGAACCTTTGAGGTCTTCCTGCTGCCTTCTCTAGGCTGATCGTTCCAGCTCCTTTCATTTCTCCCTCATAAATCTAATTCTGCTTTCCAAACCCCTCCCCCGACTCTCCCCACTCCTCCCCCTCCCGCCCCAGTCTCGCAGGAGAAACTGCATGCAGTCCCCAGGGAAAGCTGCATGCCTCAGGACGGAGCGCGGCCCAGCGATGTGAGGGGTGGGTCCCTCGGCTGCTTTTGGAAATACCCTGTTAAGCTTGAGCTCTTCCCTAATGCAAGACCCATTCTGCCTTCTAGGCCACGGCCAAGTGAGGCAGAAGAGAGCACACGAGGCTGTTCTAGGGCCCACAGCCACCTTCTTTCCACGACCCTCACCCTCGCCTCCAGTAGAACGTACTGACCCTGCCCTGACCTCATTCCCTCCCAGCCCCGGCAGGCGGGAGCTTCACTGTTTGAGGCGTCAGGACACTCACATTTGCTGGGCAGACGGAGGGCAGTGTAGTTGAGCGGGGAGGGTGGGCACCCTTTGGGGTCTGGCAGCTTGTAAGACTTGAGTTTGGATTCCCAGCTCTGCCCTGGACATGTTGTGTGTCCTGGGCCCATGACTGCCCCGCTCTGAGGCTTTCCCATCAGTCCTTTGGTGGGAGCCCAGCTTCCTGGAGGACACCAGGCAGGACCAGGCTGGGGAGTGAAGTTTTGGAGTCTCAGGCTCATCATATGGGACAGTGGTTGGGCCTGCAGCGGGGAGGAGGGTGGGGAGGGGCGGGGCTCGGTGGGCCACAGTGGCTCCTGCCCAGCATCTAAACAGCTTTTTTACAATGTCAAACAGGGGGAAGGCGGCTAGAGCAGCACATCCCCCCCCAGGCCGTTTCTAATGGTAAATATGTCTGCTCTCCCCGCTTGCTCTCACTGGCTTGCTAGGGGAAAGGCTAACCGCTGGGGCTCCCACTAACCGCATGCCCTCTGGCCCGGCCTGGCTGGCTCCCCTGCCAGCAGCGCCCACCGAGTGTCTCCTGAGTCCCCAAGAGCTGGCCCAGGAGCCTTCATGCTGGTTTTGTCTTGGATCCTATCCCTCTCCTTTTCTCCTGCCCCCTCCTTCCACCTTCTCCCTCACCCACCTTCTAACACCTCACCTTTGCTCAGCCATCGGCCCCCTCCCTTTCTCTGCCTTCTACGCAGCTGAAGACCCAGCAGCCCCATCTTAGCCATCGTGTCCACTGTGCCACCCTCCTCGGGGCTTCGTGCCACAGTAGCGACAGTCCCAGCATCGCGCGTCGCCCGCTCCCTCCATATGGTGCAGATCATGGCCTTGGCGTTCAGACAGACCTGACTCTGGGTTCTGGCTCTGCCGCCTTCTAGCTCTGCCGAGTCTGCCTTGACTCGCACAGGATCTCTGTTCCCCTCTCACTGCTCTGGGCTTGGGGCCCCCCTTCTTATGCTAAGGACATTCTTGGGGGACTGGCTGGGCTTGGAGTCTGAACTCAGGTTCCCTCCCATGACCTTGGGGAACCCCCGGAGAGACAGGCGGGAGTGCTACCTAGGAGACCCCCCTGTGGCCGCTCCCAAACCTGGGCATTGGCGGGACCAGGCATGACCAGGGCCCCGCCGGCAGCTGGCCTTCTAGTGCCCGGCCGTGCCGGTCTCCTCAGTGACAAGGGTTGGGCCGAAGTTTTAGGGGTCAACGATTCAAGGTTATAGTGCTCTCTGGTGCCTTTCTCATTTGGTTCCCGATTCTGGGAACCACTCCTCTCTTCCCTAGCAGAGGCCTTGGGATGTTGTCTCTCTGATGGGAGAATCTAGGCCCCCGGGGGATGGCCCACACCTCCTCACAGCCCCTGTGCAGGGCCTTGCATGATCTGAGCTGGGGGTTTTTTCCTGCCTCACTGACACTCCTCAGCTGTTAAACCTGTTTTTCTCCTGCTCTGAATTCAGAAAATAGGGCAAGTGACCCATCCATCCATCCCTACTCCAACCTCTCAGCGAAGGGAAGCTTAGCAGTCAGGAGGGGGCGATAGCAGAGACAGCACTGAGGCTCTGTAGCTCGCTGACCTGCCTCCCTGCGCCCCTCCTGCTCTGATCCTGCTGCTCTTGCCCCCTCTGCTCCCCTCCCCACCAGGAAAGTAGAACAACAGGACAGCCCGCTTGTCTCCATCTGCTCCTAAAAGGAGGGCTTGGGGGGAGCTGGGGGGAGCCTCGAAGGGGCTGGGAAATGACTGCCGTCTCTTCTGAGGACCAGCAGTCGGCCCTTGAACTGGAATTGTTCTTAAAGCAGCTGGGCAGGGAGGCAGGGAAAGAGGACTCGGTGGCCATCAGCCGTCTCAGGAGTCACCGGGCTCACTCTGCCCAAGATTATCCCACCACGACCCCCCACCCACCAAAGGAGGTGGTCAGTGGAAAGAGGAGGGAACTCCTGTCCGCCCCTTCTTATTCCCTGGTAGCGACTGCTCCCACCCTCCTTGCACCCGCCCTCTCTGCCTCCTCCACCCTCAGCACATTCCTGCCTGACAGCTCTGGCTTGTACCTGCCTCACTGCTGTCCACCTTGTTTCAATCAAGTAGGGGGCAGGGACGTGACTGCTTGGCTGCACTGTGAGGGGCTGGGGGCTGGGAGCCTCCGCTTACTGCTCCTTGTAAAGCACAGGGAGGCAGCCGAGGCCTCGCCTCTGCCCTCGGGCCTCTGTGGAGTTTGGGGTTCCTCCAGGCCGATAACCTGTTACCGTCCCGGCTCCCTCCTAAACAGAGACCTGTGCCGTCAACAACGGGGGCTGCGACAGTAAGTGCCACGACGCGGCGACAGGTGTCCACTGCAGCTGCCCCGTGGGCTTCATGCTGCAGCCGGACAGGAAGACCTGCAAAGGTGAGGGCTTTCAGAGGACGGGGGCGGAGGGGGAGGGCTGAGGTGGGGACTGAGAGAGGGGAGGGTACCTGTCATGGGACCAGACCTCCTGCAGCCCTGGAGGCTATCCTGATGCTAAAGAGCTGAGGTCATCGCTAAGGCTTGTCTGCTGTCCACCTTCCCCATCTCTGTTCACGGGGCACAGAGTCCAGCCAGTCCCTGAGTGCCCCCCGCCCTACACGACCTTGATTTCCCTACTTTCATTCCTGTCCCCTACAGATCCTTAACCCTCTCGGCTAATGAACATGCCACTTACATTTGTCCCTGGGTCTGAAGGATATGTGAGCCTGTGTGTGTGAAGTGTGTTCCATAACCCTCTTATCCCACATTGGCTGTCCTGGTCGGGTGGGAGCACTGATGCTGGAGCCTGGCTCCTGGGTTCAGATCCCAGCTCTGCCTCGGCTTAGCTCTGTGATCCTGGGCAAGTAACTTGGCATCTCTGCCCCTGAGTCTCACCACAGTGAGGGTGCTTGCAGAATGCTGTAAGAAGGAAAGGAGTTATAAATTACAAAGTACTTAGAACAGGCCTGACAAATGATGAACACTTTGTGCTAGCCGTGATGACGGTAGACTTTCCCACACTGTGCATCTATTTCCTCTCCTTTAATGAGCCAGGTCTACGGGAAGGTTGGGAGTGCAGGGTAGCCATGCTGAAAACAATGATTCATCAGGGCCTGTTCCCTGGTCAGTGGAGTGAGGACTGGAAGGAGGCCTGGGCTCATTCTTTGTGTCCTTTGGCCAGCAGCTGGCCGAGAGGACTGGGAGGGCTGGGGCAGCAGGTCAGCCAGCCAGAGCTGAGAGGTTTCCTGCTGGGAAGGACTGTTGACAGGTATGCTGAGAGTGAAGGGGAGGGCTGCCCCTCCCCCAAGGAGGGGTGCGTAGCCTGGGTCCTGTCTGCCACCAGCTTGGGGAACTTGACCTCAGGAAGGAAGCTGCCCCCCCCCCCCCCCCCCCCCTTCCTAGTGCTGAAAGCTGCCTCAGGCCTGAGTCTCTCCAGATCTCTCCCAGTCCAGCCCCTGCCTGGCCCTCTCCCCTCCCCCATCAGCTACCCAGCCTCACTCGCTGGCTTTTCCCCTCTGAAGAGCTGTCCCTTTGAATAGCCACGTCTCTGTGCCATCTCCTCACCCACCCTGCTGGGCTCCGGTGGCAGGAGGGGG